GATGATAAATTTTCATGGATTTTATTGTGGATAATGACCTTTCGAAAAAAGTTCAATCTCCCTGAAACAGCGACCGAATCTCAACTAAAATTCATGAAAATAGTGTTAAAAGAAATCGGTGGAGACATTTACGATAGCTTTCCTGACTCTCTATATCTGGCAAGAATTCAACTTGGCCTGAAAGATCGTTTCTATAGTTTCGTGCCATGTCCGAAATGTCATAAATTATATAATAAAACAGACATAGACAAAATTCAAAAAAATGACAGTATCGGTATCATAAGATGCAGTCACGTCGAATTTCCAAATTCTGCGTCTCGAAGGACGAAATCATGTCAAACGGTCTTGGCTGAGAGAGAGGTTAAAAAGCCAGAATTAATATATCCGTTTGTACCGATTCATCAACAATTGGAAACTCTATATCGTCGGCCTCACTTTGAACGGTTACTTCAACATTGGTCAAATCGTCGACAATTCGATAACATACTGACCAATATATATGACGGTCAAATCTGGAAAACATTCAGAGAAACTGACGATGAAAATTCAGCCAAATTTTTCTGACCAGAAGTAGCCGATTCACATCTAGGACTAATGATAAACCTTGATTGGTTCTAGCCCTACGATGGTACATTTTATAGTATCGGGGTAATTTACGCGGCTATCTGTAATTTACCTCGTGACATTCGGTTCAAGCATGAAAATTTGCTGGTTCTTAGTCTACTACCAGGACCGAACGAAGTAAGCTTGCACAAGATTAATTATTATATTGCGCCTATTGTCAATGAATTAGAGTTACTATGGAGTGGAATAACTTTAAATCGAATATTTGAGTGCCAAAATGGAAAAATATTCGTGCAGCTTTAGTACTAATTTCGTGCAATATCCCTGCTGCTCGGAAAATATGCGGACATATTTCAGCTTTGGTTTCTTGCCATCGGTGTATGAAACGAGCAAATTATGAAGACCACCAACATAATTTTGCAGGTATGGAGGATATAGAGAATTGGTTCATTACTCGAGATTCGACCAAACATCGTCAGAATGCTCTTGCATGGCGAAGTTGCAATTCCACCAATTCAAGAAAGAATTTAGTTAGTGAAAAAGGGGTTAGGTGGTCGGAGTTACTTCGATTGCCGTACTTTGACCCAATTTGTTTTATTATTGTAGATCCAATGCACTGCTTATTCTTAGGAATTGCGAGGTGGATAATGAAGAGGATTTAGATCGACGAGGGTGTTTTAACCCCGAACGATCTAAAGAAGATTCAAGAAAAAATGAATCAATTCAAAATACTGGCTGATTTGGGACGAATTCCCGGAAATATTGAGCGCGGAGAAGGGTTTTCGAACTATACAGCCGATCAGTGGCGAATTTTCTTTATGATCTAAGCAACTACCTCATTGTGGGAACATTTACCGTCAAAAGATCGAAAAATCTTGACACATTTCGTTAGAGTTTGTTCTATTTTAGTAAGCCGAATTTTAGAAATTGAATTAATGGAAGAAGCTCATGAGAGGCTAATTAAAATAATTAAGCTTATTGAAGTACACTATGGAAGAGTAAAAATTACGCCTAATCTTCACCTTTCGCTCCATTTGTGCGATTGTTCGAATGATTTTGGTCCATTATATGCATTTTGGTATTTTTCATTTGAGCGTATGAATGGAATACTCGGTAAGATATTCTTTTTTTTACTTTTTTTACTTTATTCGGATGTTTACATTGTTAGTCTTATTTTTAATAATTTTTAAGGCTCGTTGCCAACAAGTAATAGACAAATTGAACCGGAAATAATGCGTCAGATAATGAATGATAATCGAATTGGAGATATCATTAGTTTTGACATTCAAACGAAAGGTTTAGAATTGCTTGAAGATCGACCCACAACTGGTTCAATATCGGCTGCAGACCAATTTTCTTCAAATGAACTAGAGCGGTTTTGGCTAAATGCTAAAAACATACAGGAATCGACTATTACTGGATGCGAGCCGTTTCCTGGAGAAATGCTGAAGCCTAGTTCCGAAGCAATAATGACCGAATCAATGCT